TTGCCTTGTGGTCTCTTGCATATCAGAGCCCCCAAGCTGCTTACTACTGCTCTGAGGATCAGCAGAGAGGTCATTTTCAATATTCCATCTGTTCTTTAAGCCATCTTTGAAGGAGGAGATTCTTGCCTGAGGAGACCCAGTTATCCTCCACTTTTGACTTTTTTTTTTTTGTACAGACTAAAGACATTATCTGATGGTGTCTTTGAGGGTCTTAAAGGTCTGGCTTTTCTTTCAAGCCTTCGACTAGGGTGGATGGAGCCCGTTTTGACCTGTTTGTGCTGCTCACTAGATGGATGGATGGATTGAATGAATTTATAGGCTGCCCATCTCATAGATGTGAGTCTCGCCATCTTGTTCCTTCTTTGATTATATATTGTCAGAGGTTTTCTTGCTGGGACCAGCCCAGAGAACAGTATACAGGTAGTCCTCAACTTACAACAGTTCATTTCAAAATTGTGACGGATGATAACTAAGAGGCCACAACGAAAAGTGAAAATTTTGACTGCTCTCCAAAGTACTGGAAAAAAAACCTAAGCACATTTGCTCGCTGTCCAGGGTGCTGAAACGCCCCCCCCCTTGCAACGTTTTATGTGCCTAGTCTTGTGGAAAATTAAAGGATTTTGTTTTTTCTTCCCTTAATTACATGGGCTGCATTTTCTTTTTACAACTCTGAGAGGACTCTCTATTTGCATTCTTTAAACCAGTGGTTCTCAACCTATGGGTCGGGACCCCATTTGGGGTCGAACGACCATTTCACGGGGGTTGCCAAACAACGCAGTCCGCCATTTTTTCCCCCCTTTTCCTCAGCTGTGCTACTCCCTTTTATTCTATTGGCTTTTGAAAGCCAATAGAATAGACTCTCTTGAATAGATCTAATTCTATTGGCTTTCAAAAGCCAATAGGAATTGTCCAGGCTGTCTCTGCCCTGCTGAGCCCGCCAAAAGTCCCATTCTGCAAACGGTGCTGCACCAGTTGAGTAGTCCTCGACTTACAACCGGTTGAGTAGTCCTCGACTTACGATCGGTTGGGGGTCGCGGCATTAAAAAGGTTGAGAACCACTGCTTTAAACCTTCCCTAACTTCTTCTCTTAGACAGGAAAGTTACCATTTGGAAGAAGACTGTAAATTCTATCATCTGTTTATTAAAAAATGGTTCAGTTTGTATCCCTAACTCATACAGATATCTGCACCAGTCCTGGCAGATGTTTAAGGTGTCTGAACTTGACATGTCAGCTTTTTTTCTCCCAAAGACTTTGTTTTAATGACAAATTATTGTTTGCTTGTGCCAAATATCTTTGCCATGGTCTTGGGAAGCTAAAGATATTCTCAAAGCCGACAGAGACAAATCATTTTCCTATTTCTGTCAAACAATTTACTTGGACGTATCCATTTCAGTCATCTGCCGCTGAACTTCATCTGAGGGAGTTTTGGCCTCTTCCTATAGGTTGATTTTATTTATGCCTTTATTTATGTCTGTTCCTTTGGCTCTCTTTTAACCGTAGCAATAAATTATCTAGCTATGCTATATCGAAAGTCAGCTTGATCTTAAATGAGTGGGTGAAAAGGCTGTAGTAATTGCTTCTCAGATTGACTGCTTCAGCTTCTCCACAGTTATGCCCATCCTTCAGAAAGGATGATGCTCTTCTACCCCATTTCAAAAGAGCAGCCAGTGAGACACAGTGCATGATGTGTCCAAAATCAGTAACAAGAAGCTAGAAGCCAACGATCAGTTTTCTGGGCAACGCATATCCAGTAGCCAGAGTGAAAAAGCAAGAAACTCTTCATTCAATAGGAAATGTAACAAGAAATATCGGTGTGATTTCCTACATACAACCACAATTGAACCCTAAAAATAGTTATTGAGTTTTTGCCCACTTTATGACCTTTCTTGCCAATGTTGCTAAGTAAATCACCGCAATTAAGTTAGTAACACGGCTGTTAAGAAAATCTGGCTTCCCCCATTGACTTTGCATGTCAGAAGGTTGCCAAAAAATGATCACAGGACCCTGGGACACTGCAAACGTCATAAATACACACTAGTTGCCAAGCATCCAAATTTTGACCAGGTGGCCATAGGAATGCTGCAACAGTCGTAAATGTGAAAACCGGTCACTTATGTCACAGCATGGCTGGCTGGGGAATTCTGGGAGTTGAAGTCCACAGGTCTTAAAGATTCCAAGCTTCAGAAGTCCTGGATAAGTCCTCCCAGTAGTGAAGTCCATTTACATGAAGGTTAAGGTTTTAAAAGTGATGAATGTCAAGAGTGCTGCTCTACCATCCTCTTAGAAGAACGGCTGCCAACAGACAGGTGGTGGTGGCAGGTGGCGGTGGCGGCAATGTGTATCACTTTTATTTTTTTTTACTGAAATCTTCAAGAGGGCACGGGGAAAATGCACTGACATTTTCTAGTCACGGAGGTGTCGATCTATTCATAAGGCTTGGGATGATATTTTTAACCGTGCAGTAGGAAAAATTGAACTGGTGAAATCTCCTGCCAGGTTTTGAGAAGCGAGGGGGTGGTCAGTTGCAACAATGGGAAGCTCTGTGAAGGATGCCCCTCCCTCAGTGCCCTGGATCAGTGGCCCCCAACCATTTGGGCACCAGGGACCGGTTCCATGGGCCTGGTTTTGCATGCTGCCTGCATCCCGCAGATGGGGCTTGTTTGCGCGGCCCGGTGGCCGGCATGCCACGGACCCTTGCCGGTGCACTGACTGGGGGTTGGGGACCTCTGCTCTAGATTATCCAAACTCTGCCGTAGGAAAATGTATAATTTAATTCAAGACTACTTTATTATAGCTAGAAGACGAAATGGGATGCAGAGCTTAATTTCAGCCACAGCAGAAATGCTCCCTACAGGTGCCACTTACAACCACAATTCAGCTCGAATTGTCTATCGCCAATGGGGAGAGCCAGATTCATTTAACGACTGCACGTTCCGCTTAACAACGGCAATGGCTAACCGTGGCAAATGAAAGCTCTTCAAATTGGACACGGTTCACTTAACAACCATCTTGCTTAGCAAATGGAAATTTTGTTCCCAATTGCCGCCGTAGGTTGAGGACTACCTGTAATGTTTTCTCTTGGAGGTCTCAAAACAAACGAAAGAGTAGGTCGATTGGGTTTTGCTCTTGCTGTTGATTGACTGGAGAGAGAGCTAGTTTAGTAACGTATACGACTGGGTGTGTTCGGGGCTAAAATTAACCCCTTTGTGATATTACAATCACTCAGCTAAGCAAGCGGTGGGCCCAGAGCTTGTGACCTTGCTTTGCCTTGCCTCATTGGCAGCCACAGCAGCGGGATGAATGAAAGCTGTGAATGCTCCAACACTGGAAGTTTTTAAGAAGAGACTGGACAACCCTGGTATAGGGTTTCCTGCCTGAGCAAGGGGGTTGGACTAGAAGACCTCCAAGGTCCCTTCCAACTCTGTTGTTCTGTTATATCCCAAGCTGATCACCTCTCCACTCCTTACTTCACCCCACCTATGGAAACCGAGTCTCCAAGCGCCACTAGCTGTCACTGCAGGAAATGGAAACAGACCCATCTCCCAGCCTACGAGCCCCCATGCTGGGAGCGCATTATGCATCCGCTGCCAACGCGACGGCGTAGGAGGACACGGCCCCTAATTGGCACCTTTCCTTTGAAAGCAGAGCCCAAAGCTTTCCCCCCCCTGGAGAGGCTCTATTCTAATCAGCGGGATGACAATGTGGGCAGCAAGCGCGAGGCATACAGCCTCGTCGGTTGCTTTGGACCTGCCCTACCGCACAATTCATGCCATGAATTGCTGCCCACCCACCCACCCAGATTACACATGGAGAACCGACGGGCAGGCTAGATAGAACTTTGGGCTGTTCCATTCCAAACTGCTGGGGAAAAAAAAGGGGGGGGGGTGTTACTTATAAATGTTTTCCCCTTCACTTATACCAGGGGTAGGCAACCTTGGCTTTTTTATGACTGGTGGACTTCAACTCCCAGAATTCCTGAGCCAGCCATGCTGAGGGGAAAGGGGGAGGTTCCCAAGCTGAGCCATGCTGGCTCAGGAATTCTGGGAGTTGAAGTCCACGAGTCATAAAAGAGCCAAGTCTGAAGACCCATGGGCTTGACAATAATAGAACTGGTTGGTCATTCTCTTCTTCTAGGGCAGGGGTAGGCAACCTTGGCTCTTTTATGACTCGTGGACTTCAACTCCCAGAATTCCTGAGCCAGCATGGCTTAGCTTGGGAACCTCCCCCTTTCCCCTCAGCATGGCTGGCTCAGGAATTCTGGGAGTTGAAGTCCACGAGTCATAAAAGAGCCAAGGTTGCCTACCCCTGACTTATACCATAGAAAGCTAGCACAGCAAAGGGAAGACTTCCGTTCCAAGCAGTGGGTCATAGCAAATGTCAATACAGGTAGTCCTCGACTTACAGCAGTTCAGTTAGTGGCCATTCAAAGTTACAGCGGCACTGAAAAATGTGACTTAGGACCCTTTTTCACAGCATCCCCACAATTGACATTCAGATGCTGGACCACTGGTTCGTATTTATGACCGGCACAGTGTCCCGGGATCATGTGGTCTCCTTTTGTGACCGTCTGACAAGCAATAAATGGGGAAAGCCAGAGTCACTTCGCAACAGCCTTCTCAGCTTAACAACTGCAGTGATTCGCTTAACAAGGGTGACAAGAAAGGTCGTAAAATGGGACAAAGCTCACTCAACAAATTTCTCACTTAGCAACATAAAATTCTGGGCTCAATTGTGGTTGTAAGTCCAGGATTACCTGTGCAGACTAAGCTAGTGCACACCTTCAGAACACACACACCTGTTGCATGAAAGCATTTATCCAGCAGGTGGTTCCCTTCTATTTCCCAAGCACATCATAAAAAAATCCATCTGGAAATACCTATTTTGAGAAAGGAGCTGGCAAAAATAGAAATGTGATTAGTGCTGAAATTAGGACACATTTTTCTGTGCATTTTTTTTTTTTCTGTTCCTGGGGGAAGGAAACAGGCTTAGGAGTGACTACCTGGGCAGACAGGTTGCTGAGTAGAGACAGCTGATCCATCATTCCTCTTCCTTAAGATCTTAAGGCTGGGAACTTCGTTCATGGCTTGATGTGGAAGGTTGGACCTCGCTGCTCCTTGGATGCCAAAAATAAACAAATGTCAACTTCCAGCTCAAGTATCCCCAAATAAAAGTCCGGGATTATTTTCATTTCTGAAAAGCTTACTGTTTATTGAATACACAGCATGGCAAAAGCAAGGTAAAACTAACTCTAAAATCCCAAGGCATCAGACCGTAGCATGTAACAGTGGTGGCGAACCTATGGCACGTGTGCCAGAGGCGGCACTCAGAGCCCTCTCTGTTGGCACGCACGCTACCACCAGCAGCAGCAGGTCCATCAGGCTGCCACCGCTGGCCGGAGCAGGAGTCCCACCCAGCACAAAGGAGGCGAAGCGGCCAACTAGCAAGCTCGAATAGAGGTGATAGAGCAGATTTCAAGACATTTTTTCCATGGTGGTTAAGTGAATCATTGCAGTTGCTAAGTGAATCATGCAGTGTTTAACTAATCGGGCTTCCCCCCATTGACTTTGCTGATCAGACGCCAGCTGAGAAGGTTGCAGAGGATGGTCACATGACCCAGGGATGTTGCAACCCTCATAAACACATGCTGTTTGCCAGCACTTGAAATCTGATCACGCGAGCATGGGGACGCTGCAACTCTCATAAAGGCAAGGACCAGTTGTGAGTCACTATTTCCAGTGCCGTTGTGACTTCGAATGGTTGCTAAAAAAAAATATGGTTGTAAGTCGAGAATTACTTGTACATTCAGAGTTTTCCCAGCCATCCAGAAAACAAAATGCAGAGTAAATAATGCATTATTTAACAGAACAAAATACCCAAGCTGGAAGGGACCTTGGAGATCTTCTAGCCCAGCCCCCTGCTCAAGCAGGAGACCCAATACCCTTTTAGACAAATGGTTGTCTGGTCCTTCCTTAAAAACCTCCAGTGATGGAGCACCCACAACTTCTGGAGGCAAGTCATTCCCCGGTTGATTGTTCTCACTGGCAGGAAATTTCTTCTTAATTCCAGGTTGCTTCTCTCCTTGATGAGTTTCCATCCGTTGCTTCTTGTCCTGCCTTCGGGTGCTTTGGAGAATAGCTTGACCCCCTCTTCTTTGGGGCAGAAGATATTGGAACACTGCTATGTCACTCCTAGTCCTTCTTTTCTCTAGACTAGACGTACCCAATTCCTGCAACTGTGCTTCGTTTGCTTCATTATTATAAAAGGATGCTTTTGCTTTCATTTAAAATGGCTGCAGAATCCAGATCTTTCCTCTAACGCTGTGACCCGTGGTTTGAAAACTGGAGGCAAGGCTTAAGTGTGGATAATTGTCTCCCTCTTCCCCTTCCAAAAGAAATTGCTTTGCCTCTGAATTGCTCTCCCTTCCTGACCAGCTGCTGGCTCGTCCTCTGAATTCAAGGAAGGCCCGTGCCTGTTTGTTGGCGGCAAGAAAGCAGCAGGCCTTGTCAAGCGTGTGTCTGAGAGGGATTTTTCCAAGCCAGCCATCTGCCCTGATGGTAGGAAGCTTGTAGACAGAAGCATCCCAGCCTGGCTTCTGCCAGAGTCCCCCAAGAGGAAAGACCAGCTCCCTGTTTGCTCTCAACGTTGGGCTGGTGTGCCTGAGCCAAATTGGATGTGACACACAGATGGTGCGTGTAGAACATTTGGGCAGCCTTTCCAGTTCTGGGTGGAAAGCTTGACCTGACACATGGAAGGACCTTGAAGGGGCCATCAGTTCTGAGCTGGCATATTTCAAGGGAAGGAGAAGATCCAAATCCTGACCAGGAGGGTCCCCACGAGGTCGAGAAGGCAACGTGGTGGCCAGCTGTTCAACCAGCTGTTCCAGTTGAGCTTTAAATAGCAGATTTATCCAGGCATTGAGCCTGTGCTGGAGATTCTCCCTGTTCCCCCTACAACAGTGGTCCCCAACCTGTGGGTCGGGACCCCATTTGGGGTCGAACGACCATTTCATGGGGGTCGCCAAACAACGCAGTCCGCCATTTTTTCCTCCTTTTCCTTAGCTGTGCTACTCCCTTTTATTCTATTGGCTTTGGAAAGCCAATAGAATAGACTCTCTTGAATAGAGTCTAATTCTATTGGCTTTCAAAAGCCAATAGGAATTGTCCAGGCTGTCTCTGCCCTGCTGAGCCCGCCAAAAGTCCCATTCTGCAAACGGTGCTGCACCAGTTGAGTAGTCCTCGACTTACGACCGGTTGGGGGGGTCGCGGCATTAAAAAGGTTGAGAACCACTGCCCTACAAGGTCACATTCGGTGTGGTGAAGCAGCCCTTGCTTTGGAAATGTTTCCAGAGAAAAATCAGGGTTGCTGAAATTGTCTAGTGGGGAGAGAAAAGTCATTTTTTTTAGATTTCTCGTCTTGGGGGGAAGCTTGTTAAAGAGAGATCCAATCTAAAAGGAAGGAGACATTTTCTGATAGTGAGAAGAATTAATCAGTGGAAGAGCTCGCCTTTCGGCGTTGCAGGTGCTCCATCAATAGAGGTTTTCCAAAACAGACCGGACAACCATTTGACTGGGATGGTATAAGGCAGTGATGGCAAACCTTTTAGAGACCGAGCGCCCAAACTGCAACCCAAAACCCACTTATGTATCACCGGGTGCTGGGTGGGTGTTGCCCACTCGGCGGGCGCAGCTACAGTGGGCTTGGCAGACTGGGTGGGCGTGGCCACTGGATGGGTGCAGCTGCAGTAGTCATGGCAGATTGGGTGGGCATGGCCAGGTTGGACGTGGCCACCTCGATGTTGCTTATGGGGAGGGACACCTGTGGGAGCAGGGCAGGGTTGGGGGAGATCCAGGGGGTCTCTGGTGAATGGGATGGTGGGCTTCCTAATAGTGGCTCCAGGCTGGCTGGCCTTAGGCCAGCGATGGCAAACTTTTAGAGACCACGCGTGCTGGGGAGCTGGTACGCGTGCCATAGGTTCGCCAACACTGATATAAAGTCTCCTGCCTTGAACAGGGGGGGCCAGACTAGAAGACCTCCGAGGTGCCGAATTATTTCTTTCTAAATATTTAACATTGTTAGCTTACTGCAGGGATGGGAAGGGCTCCTCTTCAATTGCAGATTTAATCCTTTTCCTATTCTTTTTAGAAATATGACATTCCATTCCACACAATAATTGGGTAACGGAGAGTGGCTTAAATTACCTGGTTTTCAGTAGTATTGATCGATGATTCTTGACAAATCCAATGCACCTTTTAAGCTCATCAATAGAGTCTTCAGATAACGGGCCAATCTTTGCGAAATGTGACAGGGCTGGAAATGAGAGCACACAGGAGCTCATCAGAAAGTAGGCAACATATACAAACTCACTCAGCACTGCATGTGGATTTCGCAGGTTTTAGCAGGGGGATCTTAGCTTACCTTGGCTCATCTTCAAATGGCTCAGTAGGGTTAGACTTCTGATTAGGAGAGGAACTGCCAAGAATTACCAGGAGTAGCTAAACTGGGAAATAAAAAAAAAAAAAGCATCCCAGAATAAGATGATAGCAAATGATTCTCAGTTTGTTGCCAAGAAAATCTTGGCAGCTTCAAAAAAAAACTAACCAGAACTTAGATTAGTGTTTCTCAACCTTGACAACTTTTCAGACATGTGGCCTTCAACTTCCAGAATTCCTTAACCAGCATGTTGGCTGGGGAATTCTGGGGATGGAAGTCCACATATTGTAAGGCTGGCTGGGGGATTCTGGGAATGGAAGTCCACATATTCTAAGGCTGGCTGAGGAATTCTGGGGATGGAAGTCCACATATTCTAAGGCTGGCTAGGGAATTCTGGGAATTGAAGTCCACATATTCTAAGGCTGGCTGAGGAATTGTGGGAATTGAAGTCCACATATTCTAAGGCCGGCTGGGAACTTCTGGGGATAGAAGTCCACACATTCTAAGGCTGGCTGGGGAATCCTGGCAATTGAAGTCCATAAGTCTTAGAATTGCTAAGGTTGAGAAAACTGACGTTGACCCTTAACAGGAGATTTTAAGAAACCAAAGGGCTGCAACCCACACTGGGAAACAGATTCCAGAAAAGGAAAATGACTTCCACATTGTGGCTAAGAAACTAGAAAACTAAATGCCTCTGTCTAGGAGTCCAGCTTGTCTCAAAGAGGCCTTCTTGTACCTAAATGCACCTGCCTAAGAGTCCAGTTCTAGCCAGAATCCTAGGCAGGCGCATTTAGTTTTCTAGACCTGCTAATGACACGTTTACCTCCGCCCACCTTCACTTGTCTTATTGTTACCTTCCGTCCGGAAATTCATCCCAAAATGACTATCTTTCAGAGATGAACCAGATTAGGAACCCCAGTCTACAAGAAAACTAGAACTAAGCTTCATTAAGATATAATAACAGAATCCAGCCAAGTCTGATTGTGTTTTTTCTCCCCTCCCTCTTACATCTCCATAGGACATGAAGGAACCAGCCCCAATCTCTTCCAAATACTAGCTCCCCATCCCTCCAGGGCTCAGTAAATGTTTCTGATCATTTTTTTATTTTTATTTTTGGTAACAGCTTCTGAAAATTTCCTTCAAGGCACAGCTCCAGCAAACGGTAGCAGAAACTGGAAAGATTTTGCTGGCAGCTCCTTGCAATCACAGCTTGGAAGTGTTCAGGATCAGAATGATTAAACTACTGGGCTCCTTCAGTACCTTTTAAAAGTTTGACTCTCTTTGGAAATGAGTGAGCTTGCCAAAAATATATATATCAACAATCCCTTGGGAAATAATCCAGGGTATTGCAATGAAATGATTTGGGGAAAATCACTGGAATTGATTTATAAAAAGTTTGTAGTCACTTGTTGGTTGGTTAGTTAGATGGCTGGCTAGCTGCTGGCTGGCTGGGTGGTTTGGCTACCCTCTTTAGAAACACAATTCTGGGCAGCTCACAACCCCCCCAAAAACACTAAAAGCAAAAATCTGGATGTCAGCTATTTTCCTCCAATGCAGCTAACCTCATCATCTTTAGGATCTAGTTCAGTGGTTCTCAACCTGTGGGTCGGGACCCCACTTGGGGTCGGATGACCATTTCACGGGGGTCGCCAAATAACGCAGTCCGCCATAGACTCTTGAATAGAGTCTAATTCTATTGGCTTTCAAAAGCCAATAGGAATGGTCCAGGCTGTCTCTGCCCTGCTGAGCCCGCCAAAAGTCCCATTCTGCAAACGGTGCTGCACCAGTTGAGTAGTCCTCGACTTACGACCGGTTGGGGGGTCACGGCATTAAAAAGGTTGAGAACCACTGATCTAGTTAAGACAGTTGAGGAAAAAGCCAGAATGGAGGGCAGGGTGGGAGGGATCAAAAACAACAAAGTTATGCCATCGTTTGAATTTACCATAATCATCTGTTATGAAATCATCAACTAGCAGGAATTTTCTTCAGATTAAGTGTTGGGTCGCAGCAGTGTTCCTCAATCTCAGAAACTTTTAAGATGTGCGGACTTCAACTCCCAGGATTCCCCAGTGAACTTTAAAGTGTGTGGACTTCAGTTCCCAGAATTCTCCAGCCAGCATGCTAATTGGGGATTTCTGGGAGTTGAAGTCCACACATCTTAAAGTTGCTAACATTGAAAAATTCTGGGTTACTTGTGAAAGGTAAGAGAGAATAGCTTTAGGGCACAAAAAAAAAGGTCAAACATTGACTGGGAGACACGTGCTTTGTAAAGTCAAGAGAGCCTATGGCAGTGTTTCTCAACCTTGACAATTTTAAGGCATGTGGACTTCAACTCCCAGAATTCCACAGCCAGCATTGCTGGCTGTGGAATTCTGGGAGTTGAAGTCCACATGCCTTAAAATTGTCAAGGTTGAGAAACACTGGCCTATGGTAATATGGACAGGGGGGTCCACAGAGGTCAAAAAAAGTCAAGAGTTTGGTCATGACACTTCTAAAAGGATGTCAGTGCTGTCTTGACACACAGAACCCAAAATCCTTTGCACAGAGGCTGTTTGTAGAAGGTATCTGAGATAAATTGCCCATAAAATGCACCTATTGTGTAAAGCAGAAATTATCAATGATTTATTTTGCCAAAAGGAAGGCTGTGAGGCAGAATACTGGAGATGACATATTGTGCTGGAATATGCAAATCAAAGTTGAGGAATGCATATACAATCCAATCAGCCCAAAGTTTCATTCTTTCCGACTTGCAGCTCAAGACTTGGCGTGGACTTGGGTGCGGAAAATCAAAGTCATCTATGGTTTGTTTTGCTATTTATTGAAGAAACTCCGCTGGCTGTTTTTTCCACAGCTTACTCGGCTTAAAACGCGAACACTTTATGGCTTAGCACGGCGAGGGACTCTAGCTAAACTCCCTTCCGCAAAGAGTTCATGAATTAACCAGGTGGGGATCAATAATTCAAGAACAGTCCTTATCACCCCACGATGACAAGAGCCGTCTTGTAGCCAGTTCTGCCACTTTTGCTCTGCTGGCTCCAGGGATGGCTGGTTTTTCATTCCGATGGTAAAACCCCAACCAGTTCCACTTTTGGTCCATCAAACCAAATTAAAAACGGAAGTAATTTCATAAGCTGGAGACATATGCCAAGCTATGGACCCCCTCATGTTATGTTCTTAGCAATGGTATGGAATTGCATTTGTTTGGGGGGTTTTTTTGGCAATTTCCCAGGGAAGGATTCTTCTGAGAATGGCTGTTCAGGAAGCTACTAGTGTGTCGGATTGTGCAACTGAAGGAAGAAGTGGGGGGGGGGGAAAGGGTTTAGTGTCAGCAAGAGGACTGCGGCGTCTCAGGGAAGAGGCAACATGTTCCAGAGTGGGGCCCAAAATGAGAGACTGCACAGTCCTGGGCTGCAAGGGGTTCAAGACAGCCACACCCTAAAACCTCTCAGGTACATCTGATAGCTAGAAGGTTACAGCTTTAGTCTGGCAATATTCTGTCTAAAGGTTTAAAGGTAAAGGGTTTCCCCTGCCCAGTTGTGTCTGACTCCAGGGCGTGGTGCTCATCTCTGTTTCCTAGCCGAGACAGCCAGCGTGGTCTAAAGACACTTCTGTGGTCATGTGGCCAGCACAGAACACTGTTATCTTCCCATCAAAGTGAAATCAATTTATCTACTTGCATTTGCAGGCTTTTGAACTGCTAGGTTGGCAGAAGAGGTAGCCACACCCTAGAACAGGAGTAGGCAACCTCGGCTCTCTTATGACTCATGGACTTCATGGAGTTGAAGTCCATGAGTCATAAAAGAGCTGAGGTTGCCTACCCCTGCCCTAGAATCTCCCAGGGTATATCTGTTAGGTTAGAACAGGGGTGTCAAAACTGTCAGCCTGCAGGCCAGATGCGTCATGCCAAAGTCGTGATACGTCATGACACGTCACGTGATGTTGCGACTTTGACCCCCCCTGGGTTAGAAGGTTATAGCTTTAGTCCGGCAAGATTCTGTCTGTTAGGTATAAGCCAATAAAAATATTGACTGGCTTCTACTGTGTCGTCTTTGGACTTGGGCCCGACATCTAATGCTTCTCTGTGTTGTGTTCCAGAGTGATCTTGGAAGATGTCGAACCTTGGCAACAGTGACACCAAACCCCCCTGTCTGCCCCGGAATGGACTTGTTAAACTCCCCACCCAGGCCAATGGACTCGGCTCCGCGAGCATCACCAAAGGGACCCCAGCGATGAAAAACCGCTTGTGCCAGTCTTCCGTGCCTGCAATCATCAGCCCGGCCTTAATGAATCACAGTGATCTGTCCATGCCTGGTCTAACTTCACCGCTGTCTTTGGCGGCTCTGGCAGGAGGGCCTTCAGGAGCCACCGTGGTAGGACTTCCCTCCGATGAGATTTCTCCAGCCAATGGGGACATCCCATCCCTGGAAGACCTCTCTGGCTCCCCCACCAAAAGACATCTGGCTGTGGATGAAAAGATCCTGAACCGTTTGTTTATGTACTTTTCAGCCTGTGAGAAATGTGTCCTGGCCCAGGTGTGCAAAGCGTGGAGGAGGGTCTTGTATCAACCCAAGTTTTGGGTGGGTCTCACGCCGGTGCTGGACACCAAAGAGCTCTACAATGTCCTGCCCAATGGAGATAAGGAATTTGTCAACCTTCAAGGTTTTGCAATCCGGGGGTTTGATGGTTTCTGCCTCGTGGGGGTTTCCGACTTGGACATCTGTGAGTTCATTGATAATTATGCCCTCTCCAAGAAAGGAGTGAAATCTATGAGCCTTAAGAGATCGACCATCACAGATGCAGGTCTTGAGGTAGGTCTTCTGCTTCCAGGCTGATGGCCCTGTCCCTGTTGCAGAATTCAGTCTGGGCTCTCTAGGCTGGAGGTAGCTCCTCAAAAGTTGTTCCCATACTGCCATTGTCTCATACTAGAATAGAATAACAGTTGGAAGGGACCTGGGAGGTCTTCTAGTCCAACCCTCTGCTCAAGCAGGAAACCCTATACCATTTCAGACAAATGGTTGTCCAATTTCTTCCTGTTGGAGCACCCACAACTTCTGGAGGCAGGTTGTGGTTAATTGTTCTAACTACCAGGAAATTTCTTCTTAGTTCTAGGTTGCTTTGTAAAACATGGAACTAATGGAGGAAGTCATGGCATAGATGACTAGAAACTATGATCAAAAAAGGCAAGTTGGCACCCAGGAGGACCTGTTGAAAGTTCCACCTTATTTTTGTGTGACCTGCACACGACAAAAGTGGCACGGTTGGAGGTCTTTCTGCATCAATCCCCCAGCCCAGCCCAGTTTAAAGAGGGTCAGACAGGTTTATAGCCCCCTTCACTTTGAAGAAGGGGCCTTTTGGTGACCATGTCACTGCAATACATGTGTCCAGGTTGACTTTGCATAAATCAGATTAAATTGTGGGCTTCCACTATAAGCTACATTGGAGCACCAGTGTCTTCTCACCACAAATGCTCATGTGAATAGCTACTAAAATAGGGGACATTTAACAACCCTTAATTTAGGGATTCCAGATGGAATCCACATATTATATGAAGTCTATGCCATATTGTTTCTTTGTCAACCATGGCTTAGTCTCAAGTGGGAACCTAGCCATTGTAGGTTATTCAGTCAACCCCAGTTAAGGTCAACCGTGGCTTAGCACAAAGTAGGAACTCAGCCAATAAATCTTGCTTCCAATGGCATCTCACTCATGCAGGATTTTGTGACTTCACTCTACATGCATTCATCCCAAAGGAAGCCCTGCTTTGGTGTACAAAATTAACACCAAAGTAATTGGATCCAATTCTGTTTCTTTTTGTGAAGGGCATCCAACAAGCCACCATTTCCCATCAGCGCAACCCACTGCTGTCTCCACATGCTGCCTAAAGCCCATCGGAACAGATGTCTTTCTGAGATATTTAAGCAGATGGGTGAAGTTGCTATTAGTGAGCAATTACAATTACAGTAATTGGAAAAGTTGTCTTTGATCGTTTCCTGTGTCCTGATATAGTAACAGAACTAAAATAGAGTTTTAGGGAAGGGGAAAGAAGCTTAATCTTAAATCATCATATTGCAGATTATTTCGTTCCCAACTGATTAATCAAGCAAATGGTTCTCAATAACTTTACCAATTAAAAGTGTCGGTTTTATATTCCATCTAAAGCAGCACTGTCTGCTTGAGCGAGAAATGATTTTGGCTATAAGTGACAGGAGGCTGCAGAAGATTAAACCAGAGGCACTTGATCCACAAAGCATGTCGCAACAATATCATTTTCTCAAGAGATGAAAATGATGTATTTGGTGTGAGCAGCATCAGAGAAACATAATTTGTGGCACTGGCATGATGGTGTACAAGACACCCTTATGGCTTCTTGTGGCGTTCCTCTGAAACAAACTGGAAGTAGGAGATGACCAGGCTGAGCCCAAGGGAGGGGTCAAGGACATCATCAGTCTTGAGCTCCTTCAGGTCCACAAGAGATCCAAGTCCAGCCTACTTTTAATTCTGTTGACTCTTATCTACCATCTATTTGCTTTCAGAGAGAGTAGTTCAGATTCTTGTAGAGGGCTTAAGCTTGCAATAAACCCTTATATACATTTGAACTGCCTGGATTTCCTGATTTCCCTGGCACTTGACACTATAGTAGTTTAAACCAGGGATATGAACCTTCCCTGATTATGAAAGAACTTCAGTAAGCCAGGAAGACACCTCAAACTGAACTATATACTATCCAGACTGGGAAAATTGTGGTCCTCCAGATGTTGCTGAGATACATCCTCCAGCATTACTCATTATTGACCATGTTGAGTGGGGCTACTGGGAGCTGGAGTTTACCAATATCTGGAGGGGCACCGATTCCACACCCAGACCCACACTCTCACTTTGGTTTAGCCAATATTGAGAACATCCCAGTGGAAATCAGTTGAGAATTCTGAGGCACAAAGTTTATAAAAGAAAACTTGCAGAAGTTGTAAAAAACGCCATGTCTCTGCTTGGGACATCAGAGATACGTTTCACTACGCCTTATGAAACTCTATATGAAGATCAGCAGGCACGTTTACAAAGAGGCTAAACTTGATTAATATCAACCTTGGTTAGTTTTGAGGGAGACTTAACTTGCAGCGTGTTGTACAAATCCATCCTCTTGGGCACCATTTATTTTGCATACCTAAAAGCTGGGTTAATTTAGTAACCAGGTTGAGCTTGTTGCGTGAACTCAGCCCATAGGTGACTTCCTGCAGTGGTTGACTGCAGTGATTCTCTTAACAATCATGGCAAAGCTGATCATAAAATTGGGTCCAGTCCCAGGATTTATTTATTTATTTATGAGACTTATATACCTCTTTAAGTGCAAGCACACTCTAAGCGGTGTACACCAGTAAGCAATGTATATATATATATTTACATTGCCCCCAACAATCTGGGTCCTCATTTTACCTACCCCGGAAGGATGGAAGGCTGAGTCAACCTTGAGCCGGTGAGATTTGAACCGCTGACCTGCTGAACACAGTCAGCTAAAGTGGCCTGCAGTACTGCACTCTAACTGCTGTGCCACCTCGGCTCAAGGGATGACCGCAATTGCTTAACGACTGCATCGTTTAGAACTGAAATTCCAATCCCAATTGTGAAAGTTGTAAGTCAAGGACTACCACTACAGTTGGGTGAAGGCAGCTGTGGTTTTTTGTTTTTTTTGCCCTCTCAGGTTTAGAGTGAATTTTGTGAACTTAGCCTCCCTGTCGCTCTTTCAGGTAATGCTGGAACAGATGCAGGGGCTTATGCACTTGGAGTTATCTGGATGCAATGATTTCACCGAGGCTGGTCTCTGGTCGAGCCTGAATGCCCGCATCTGCTCCCTGAGTGTCAGCGATTGCATCAACGTGGCCGATGATGCCATTGCGGCCATCTCGCAGTTGCTGCCCAACTTGACTGAGCTCAATCTTCAAGCCTACCACGTGACGGATACGGCCCTGGCTTACTTCACTGCCAAGCAAGGTTACACCACTCACACTCTCCGCCTGAACTCCTGCTGGGAAATCACGAACCACGGCGTGGTGAACATGGTGCACAGCCTCCCCAACCTGAGCGTGCTCAGCCTTTCCGGGTGCTCGAAGGTGACGGACGATGGGGTGGAGTTGGTGGCAGAGAACCTCCGCAAGCTTCGGAGCTTGGACCTGTCATGGTGCCCTCGGATCACAGACATGGCTCTTGAGTACATCGCTTGTGACCTCCACAAGTTGGAAGAGCTGGTGCTTGATAGGTAAGGAAGGCCCTCATCCTCCCATTCAGGTGACAAAATTTGGGCCTGAAATAAGACATCCCGGGGAATTAGTATACCAGGGCATAGAAATGTTTGGACAGCTTGACGGTCTTTTGATGGTCTTCAATTGACAAGAGACAAAAAAGCCACTGAGCAGGACCTACAAAGGTCACCATCCAAAGAGGCAAAGGGATAAAGGGTAGAGAATGAAGCAGACAAGGATGAGGTGAGGTGATGGAAGAACCCACGAGATGGTCCCAAATTAAAGAAACAGATCTAATTTGGTCCAAGGTAGCTCCCAGTGTTCTATAATGTTCTTCAGAACCTCAAAAGGCCCCCAATGAGATGCCGATCCTCAAGGACCTATGACTCAAGGTCACTTGTAACTGATGGCCACTTTTATTGTAACACATCCAATAAAGTATTATGGTGCTATCATCTTCTCAACATCCGATCCATCTATTCCTTTTTCCAAATCTCCATTGGTGGCTCACTTGCTAATTATAAGACCAACCTCCCAATGATACTGCATAGTGGGCTTCACTTTTGAATGCATCTATTCATAGAATCAGGATGGAGACAGGGGGCACTGCTTCCCTGGCCAGTTTCTCAGAAGTCTTCGTATTTGGTAGCAGGCACATTCTATCATCTAAAGTTGTTCTCTTCTTCTCCTCTTCCTCTATGATCTGATTCTGCTCCTGAGTTGTTGGGAGTTAAGAGTTGTCCTCACTCACACATAAAGAATATTGGGAAAGCCCAAGTAACATTTCATCGCTGGTTGTGCCACGATCTACCCTTCTCCAGACATTGAGTTTTTGCAAGGTTAGACAAATTTCCAGGGGGCTTCAAAACTCTGAGCAGATTTTAACAGATTTAATTTGCTCGTTTGATGATGATGATGACGATGTTCACATTTATAGTGATGATCACCCTTTGGAGAATTGATGAAGGTGAAAGGTACAAAGGCCCCTTAAGAACTGTAGAAGCTTAAGACATTTATTGAGTTCTTTCATCCTCCTAAGCCTTCCCTAAAACTGGCCCTTGTCTTACCCTCTTTTTTGAATCAGATCCTGAACATGCTGCACAAAGTCCAATGTGATTCTTCACCTGATAAAACTTGAATGCTTGTGGAGGAGTTTACTTCCTCCTCTATAGAGATATTTGCATTATTCTCCTGCTTTTAAACTTACGGCTGTCCATCTTCATTTCTCTGGCAGGTGTGTACGGATAACAGACACTGGGCTCAGTTACTTGTCCACCATGTCCTCCCTTAGGAACTTATATCTCCGCTGGTGCTGCCAGGTAGGCCAAAGGGAGCTGGGATTCTCTCCTTGTGAGCCTCATCCAGGACAAGGCTTGCAATTTGTAATGGAGCATTGGGAACAAAGTATGGATTTGTAGCTGGAAGTATCCGGAAGCTTCAGCTGGTTCAAAATGTGGCAGCCCACATGGTATTGTGCAAGTCTAGATTTGCACACGTGTCACCTCTCTTGAAGGACCTGCATTAGTTGCCAATTGGCTTCCTGGTCCAATTCAAGGTGACGATTGTCACCTTGAAAGCCCAACAACACGGTTGAAGAACCGTCTTTTCCCACTCATATCAACCAGGTCCATCAGAGTGGGTGGGGAGGGAAAAGATGTTATAGATTCTCTTTCTTAAGGGGGTCCATCTAGTGGGACCATGAAGAAGGGCAGCTCCCTCCCTGTGGAACATCATCCACGTGGAGATAAAATTGGCCCTCATCTTGATAGTCTTCTGACGGGCCCTAAAGACAAGGGGACCACGGGAGATATGGAGCCCATCAAATGGTCGGTTTGATTGTAGTTGCCATGGGGCTGGGGTGCATTGGGTTTTGTTTGGGGGGGGGTCATTTTTATAAGCTGCCTGGAGTCACCATGAGTGGGTTGGGCAGCCCTGTACATTTTTTTTCCTGGAAGTAAATAAATAAACCTCACAATCCTGTCTTCTCCTCCTCTGTAGGTTCAAGATTTTGGTCTGAAACATCTGTTGGGAATGAGAAGCTTACGCCTCTTGTCACTTGCCGGTGAGTATTGGATTGGGGGGGATCCTTTCAGATCCAGTGAGACTTGGGTTTGGAAGAGACTTTTGGGATCCCTCAGGGCCTGAATCCCAAATCCCAAAGCACCCAACTTCCTTTGACCTTAGACCTTAGACCCATAGTGGTGCACCCCAGGCTCAGATGCACAAACTATGATAGATACAGGCACACATACATATGTGTGCATTTCTGTTTAGGCACACACATGGGGCACCTATGATCCCACGTGCACATGCAGGTATGAACGAGTATGCACCCATACACACAGACACATCTACACGCACAGATACACTCACACCCATATGGACAAAAGTGTCAATAAGAGATAATTAAACCTTCTCAGAATGGAAGAACATCTCTGTTTCCTTTTCAAGCAACCTCTGATTTTAGCCTTTCCAACTGAGCTATTCTTTCTTTCTTATTCTTGGTGCTCTCTGAGCTTGCTTGTTTTCTTTGCAGACGTTTGCACTGATGATGCTACCTAGTTGGGGTAATGAAATGTCTGCAAGAAAACAAGCAAGCTCAGAGAGAACCAAGGACCCCACAGTTGTCGTCCTCCTCCCCCTTCCTCTCCACAAAGCCCATTCCTTCTAGCACTGATGATGTTGCCTAGTTGGGTAATGAAATCTCTGCAAGAAAACAAGGAAGCTCAGAGAGCACCAAGGACGCCATAGTCCAGTAGTGGCAAACCTATGGCATGCGTGCCAGAGGCGGCACACAGAGCCCTCTCTGTGGGCACGCACCATCTCCCCAGCACACGTGGTCTCTAAAAGTTTGCCATCACTGGCCTAAGGCCAGCCAGCCTGGAGCCGCCATTGGGGAGCCCACCATCCCACTCACCAGAGACTCCCTGAATCTCCCTCAACCCTGCCCTGCTCCCACAGGTGTCCCTCCCCATAAGCAACATCGAGGTGGCCACGTCCACCCTGGCCATGCCCACCCAATCTGCCATGACTACTGCAGCCGCACCCATCCAGTGGCTACGCCCACCCAGTCAGCCAAGCCCACTGTAGCTGCGCCCGCCGAGTGGGCCACTCCCGGCCGGCACCCAGTGATACAAAAGTGGGTTTTGGGTTGCAGTTTGGGCACTCGGTCTCTAAAAGGTTTGCCATCACTGCCATAGTCCTAGTCCTCCTCCTCCTCTTCCGCCTTCCACTCCACAAAGCCCACTCCCTTCTAATATTGATGACGCTAACTAGTTGGGTAATGAAAAAAAACAAGCAAGCTCAGAGCACCAGGAACCCCACATTTGTCTTCCTCCTCCTCCTCCTCTTCCTCCCCCCTTCTCCGCCTTCCGCTCCACAAAGCTCACTCCCTTCTAGCACTGATGAAGTTACGTAGTTGGGTCATGAGAGGTCTGCAAGAAAACCACCAAACTCAGAGAGCACCAAGGACCTCTCATTTCTGCCCTGAACTACGAATATTCTCCTTTGTTCATTCGTTCTTATTCACTGGGCCCTCTCTGATTTCATTTTACCAGGCTGCCCTCTGTTGACAACCACGGGACTTTCAGGCCTAGCCCAGCTTCACGACCTGGAAGAACTGGAGCTGACAAATTGCCCGGGCGCGACTCCAGAGCTCTTTAAATACTTTTCCCAACACCTGCCTAGCTGCATGGTGATCGAGTAAGCCACTCGCTTGGAAGATCTGGCCAAATCCTGGAGCCGTGTTCTCCAATCCTAACTCAGCACTGACCAACCCTCCAGAGTCAAGGTTTTCTTTATTTCTTCATCATTGATATATAACTGTATATGGAGATATATAGATATATATGGATGATTGCTTTCCGGAAGAGGCTGTTGTGACTTGAAATCACACGCTCACACATTGTACACTCAAGGGGAAAAACAGTGCGATGAACGCACACGAACAATTGAGAAAAGAGTTGGTCATTGGGTGGATCGGCCGTGGCTCTAACCAAGTGGAAGAACTGACCCCCGAGTTTGTAAATCCTGACATCCCCATCATCTCTCATCTTCCTCGTAGCGAGCTGTTTAAAAATCTTACCTTTTGAGGGGGTTAAAAAAAACAAACCAAGAATAAGGAAAACACACCCACGTGGATCGAAACCCCAACAGCAAAACCAAATGAAAGGGATGTAGGAAAACCAGCGAGAGAACCCCAGTGGCCGATCAGCCTTGTTGGCAAACAAGCCAACATCACTTCAGTGCTGAATGAAAACGATTTGTGCCCGTCCGGGCATTTCACGCTATGGGCAGAGAGAGGTTCGCCTATTAGCCTACCCAGTCTGGGTGGCATGAGGATCAAGGGATCAGCCCTTGGGAAGGCCTTCAAGGTATGGATGTTGGTCGGTTGAACCTGCCCGCGAAAGGCAGGCATTGTTTACATGGGAGGTGGGAAGCTGGACAAGTCGAGAACCCGCCGGAGATTCCTTGGACCAGAGGAAGCATCAACAGTTGTGAAATGGGTCGGCTTCTGAATTCCAAGCATGGGACGCTGTGGAAGTGTAAGGTCACTTGTAAAAGGAAAAGTTGGGGGGAGGGGAGAGAGGAAGAAGAAGACGGAAACTGACCGATGCTGTGAGAGAAAGGGTCCCGGAAATTCTTGAAGCTCTGGATTTGGGGAAGCTCCTGATTCTTGGACGTTCCAGAAAGTGGAGCAAAGCTAGAGAGGAAGGAGATTGATTGGAGAAACTCACCTAAGCTGACTCAAAGCTCACGCAACGCACGATCCTTGGTGGATCCCATCTGCCTCCTTTTCTTTCGTTTCTTCTCTCTCTCTCTCTCTCTCTCTCTCTCTCTCTCTCTCTCTCTCTCTCTCTCTCTCTTTTCATTTGGTTTCGACTCTCTTGATTTTTGTGAATGAGTAAGGAGGGGGTTCCTCCCCCTCTCTCGCCCTCTCTTTGGAGCAAAAACCACAGCCTTTGCATGCTCGCTTGCTTTGCGTCTTGTGATAAGGTAGAGTCTTGATTCTGCTTTTGGGCTGTGGGTGGCAGTTTTTTGATCCTGGCTTGGCTCGTCTGTTCTGGTGTTTAAAAAAAAAAAAAAGCTGATGTGGCTTGTATACCATCCTTGTTCCATTTCTCCAGACCACGCAGATCATCAGCTGTACATCCCGGTCTTATCCAAGAGGGATGAAGACATCTCTTTTCCTTCCTCCAATCCTACCAACCCCAGTTCCATCTTCCATCCTGGGAGACACCCCCATCAACCAACAGATCCCCTTCTTTCCTTCTGACTTCACCCCACCAAACCCAAGGGGAAACTGTAAGCGTTGGCTCTCTTCCAGCCAAAGTTGCTGCTGACCAGATGTTTGGTGATTCGTGGCTTTCGTCCCACCAGATTTTTAGAAGCCATTTCCAAGGCCTCGTGGAACAATAAGGGGCTAAGGGCATTTCCAGCTTTCAGGCATTCATCCTTCAGACCCAGAGATCTGTTCTGGGGCAGAACCATGTACTGGAAAAATTGGGAGAGCTCCGGGCTCTTTAAGCCATGGGTTCCACTTGAATTCCAACCTTAGGATCTCCCTGGGATGGCTGGGCAGATAAAGCCACCTCTTCTGTGCTTTTGAAGAGCTGCTGGGCTCTTCACGCAATCCCAGTAGAGTGCCTGCGTGATTCTGGTTTATTTTGGCTTCTTTGGAAGAGAAAGGAGGGAGAACCCATTTCCAAGAGTGGGTAAGTCCACAGCAGAGAAACTGTTCTCACTACTCCTATCTCCAAGAAGCTTTTGGGATGGGCGCTGGGTGCTTTCTGCTCTCCAAAGGTGGTAGGATAAAAACCATATCTTTATTCCCCCCCCCCCTCTGCTGCATGGGACAAACCCTGGAAGCAATGTGTTCTTTTCCCCCCAAGATCCTGGCCTGTGCATGCTAATATACCTAGAAAGAAACAGGCATGGCGGTTAATATTAATTGGGTTGCAGTTTGGGCACTGCAACCCAATTAATACTTTCAACCGAGTGTTTCTGTGGTGAAAGGTTTTGCCGGTGAGATCGCCGTTGCCTGAGGGATCCCGGGGGGCTCCTTTCGTACCCCTGGGAAGTTGCTCACCAAAGTGGTACCCATTAATTTACTTGCGGTCGCTTGCTTTCAAACCGTTGGGTCGGCGGGAGCTGCAGCATGTAACGGGTGCTCAAAACACCCTGCGGCCGCGAAGGGTCTTGAACATGAGGCTGCCAATCGTCAGCCCGGCGTTCTAACCGCAGGAGCCACCGTGCTCCCGACACGGTGGTTGAAGCTATGGAAGCCACGACTTTGGTGAAACTCTGTCCTGTAAAACTGGGGAAAGCCAGCAAGGTTGTCTTGAAAGTGGACTTCAAACAATATTGCGTCCAATAACTGGGCAGGAGAATCGCATGTGGTCCTAGCTTATTTCTTTTCAGGACTCGCAAAAAACAAAGGGGACGTTGCCGTAGACCAGTGTTTCTCAACCTTGACAATTTTAAGGCATGTGGATTTCAACTCCCAGAATTCCACAGCCAGCAATGTTGGCTGTGGAATTCTGGGAGTTGAAGTCCACATGCCTTAAAATTGTCAAGGTTGAGAAACACTGCCGTAGACTATTGCATGTCATTCTAACTTATCTGGAGGAAGAGGTTGCCGTCAAGGCAGGCAGGCAGGCAGGCAGGCTGGGGATCATGGAAGGGGTAGTTCAACAGGTCTGGAGAAGCCCAGTGAGGGAAAATTGCCTTTGTGGTTTTCCCACCAGATTGTCTATCCTAGATCAGTGGTGGCAAACCTATGGCACGGGTGCCAGAGGCGGCACTCAGAGCCCTCTCTGTGGGTACGCGCGCCGTCGCCCCAGTCTTAGGCCTTCAGCTGGGTTTTATGAAACCTTTTTGCTTTAGGCCTCCACCGCTGTGTGCAAAAAAAAAAAAAAAGGTTCAATCAGTCAATTTCAACTTCTTGCGGGGAAAAAAAAGATCTTGCAAAGTTGGAATTGATTGAACTTTTTAGTCTCACCCAATCTGCCGTTACCACCGCAGCCACGCCCAGCCAATGGGTCACACCCACCCAGCACCCGAGGATGCATAAGTGGGTTTTGGATTGCAGTTTGGGCACTCGGTCTTTAAAAGGTTCGCCATCACTGCCCTAGATCGTGGTCCTGAAGCGGTCGTCTTGCAAGGCTTCTGGCCGCGAGCCAAGACTGGCATAGTCAATTAGACAGGTTTGAGTTCTTGAGTGCCTTTGGTGGCTACCCTGTTTTTCTTATAAACAAAGCCAAAAATAATACTAATAACACACCGACCAAACTACCATATTCCTTCAGCTCTGACCTCGGAGGAAAAGAGAGATGCCAGGCCATAAAGCCTGGCCTGATTCTACTGTCTCTTGAGCTCTTCCAACAGCTGACTGATGCCCTCTATGTATACCAGCGGACCACAAGCACTGTGCACCACTATGGGCTTTGGCATCTTTCCAGCAGGAGCATCTGACCACAGGATTCATCTGCGCCTGGAATTTCAGTGCCAGCCGTGCAGTATTGACAAAACTGTGTGCTCGGCTGCCACTCACACGATTTCCACTCTTTTCCTCAAGCTGCCAATCTCGTTTTTGGTTACCTTTGGGGGGGGGGGAAATTGCACCGATCAGATCAGGTAGATCAGGGGTCCCCATGCTGGCTGAGGAATTCTGGGAGTTGAAGTCCACAAGTCATGAAGTGGCCAAGGTTGGGGACTCTGAGGTAGATGAATGAGACACAGGTAGCGTCTCAATTGAATCCAACATGTCTGTTTCTAAGGGAGGCAATTGTTAAGGGAATTTTGGCCCACTCTGTGACCTTTCTTGCTACGGCTATTAAGTGAATCACTGCAGTTGTTAAGTTAGGAACACAGCTATGAAGTGAAACTGGCTTCCCTGTTCACTTTGCTTCGTCAGAAGGTCGCAAAATGACCCTGGACACCGCAACCGTCATAAATACGAGTCAGTTGCCTAGCAGCTGAATTTTGATCACATGACCATAAGGATGCTGCAATGGTCGTGTGAGAACCCGTCATAAGTCATTTTTTTCAGTGCCACTGTAACTTCAAGCGGTCACTAAACGAACTGTCGTTAAGTCGAGGACTACCTGTAATGCAGTCAGATAACAGACCCCTTTGGACCTGCTGTTGATTTCCTCAGATCACTGAGAGGTCACTGAGCTGCCTCTCCTTTTGCAGGACGCTTTCAAAATTCAAAAGAAAATCCCTTTGCTGCATATTTATATATAAAAAAACCAAAAACAGAAAACCACCACCACCACCCTTTGCTAAATTCCCATCCAGAAATTATCGTAGTTTGCAGAACGCTCCGTCGATTCCCGACCAATATTTTTCCCAAGGCTGTACTTTTACATATCTAAACAGTAAAAAGGCTATGATTTCATATTTTATATGATTTTTTTTTTTTAGGCTGAGAAATAGTTGCATTACAGTGCAGTAATTAAAAAGCGAGGCAGGCCATTGTCTCACCAATTTATGATTCAAAGGAAACCCTAGGTGAACCAAAATGGGGTCATCAATTGTAAAAATCAGAAATTATTTATTTATCTATATATCTATTTATTTATTTATCTATCTATCTATCAAATTTATATAGCCATCCATCTCACCAAAAGTGACTCTTTGGTCTCCTGGGAGTTTGGCTTAACGGGAATTAATTCCCATTGGTTTCAGATTTCCTATCAGAAAAATGTGTACTGGCTAAGGAGTGAAACTGTAATTAAAGCGCAATTAATAACAGGGAGCAAAGGGAAACCAACGCCATTGGCGTGGTATAATTTCAAGAGCAGATTGGCTCTGAACTAGATGGATGATCTATTTACTTATTTATTCGTCCATACGATATAGTCAGGCAATGTTTTGATCATGTCCCATAATCTTCTGAGAAGGTTTATCTAGCTAGCCAGAAGAATCAATAAAGACTTAGAACTTAATTTTGCAGCAGTCAATTCAATTATTTATTTTAACATTTAATAAATCTGTAATTTAGTAAGCATCAACAGCACATTATTGAAACAAATTAAAACGACTTGCTCTCAGGGCAATCCCCTGTCTCTCTAACCCAGAATTAGTCCACTTGAATTCTGTAAAGTTTATTTCTAGGAAAGAGCCTGGGAATCTCTTATAGGATAGGGTCAAAAAAAAAAGTCACAATTGAGACTACCTGCTTTTGATGTGCATGAATTGGTTTGTCATGGCCACCATCCTGAGGACACCCTGGAGTAAGGCAGGCCTCCTTACCTATCCGTTTTCCCAACAGTTTCTAAAATCCCTACCATTTCAATCCTGGATTTTTCTACGTCACAATTAAATGTCTACTCCAATCTGCAGAGTTCCAGATGGGTGGGACTGCAAGGCCAATAATTCCCATCCAATACGTCAGGGATCTGATGGATCCTGAGGAATCTGGATGAAAGAAGATCGCCTGAAATTCTTCTCACTGACTTTGGGGAGGGGGGAAAAGAGATAAATATATGAAAGACAGATCTAGCATTGGATGATAGCCATAGTACAAAGATATAAAAAAGATGCTGAGGTCCTAGAACAGGGGTCTTCAAACTTGGCCCTTTTATGACTTGTGGACTTCAACTCCCAGAAGTCCTCAGCCAGCGTGCTGGGAGTTGGTCCACAAGTCATAAAAGGGCCAAGCTTGAAGATCCCTGCCCTAGAAAGAATGCAGAGAAGAGCAACAAAGACGATTAGTGGCCTGGAGGCTAAGCCATATGAGGAACGTTTAAGATAATTAGGTAGGTCTACTGTAACAAAGAGAAGGACCAAGGGTGGTGGATAGCTGTCTTCCAATACCTGAGGGGTTGTCACAGAGAGGAAGGGGTCGACCTATTCTCCAAAGGGCATGACAAGAAGTAATGGATGGAAACTTACAAAGGAGAAAACTAAGAACTTTTCTGACAGTGAGAAGAATTTATCAATTGGACAGCTTGCTTCCAAGAGTTGCAGGTGCTCCATCACTGGAATTTTTCAAGAAGAGATTGGACAACCATTTGTCCAGAAAAGTATAGGGTCTCCTGCCTGATCAGGGAATTGAACTAGAAGACCTCCAAGCCCTT